ATCATAACAATCATAATCAATTTCATAAACCAATTATTGAATATGTCTTCTTCCTAAATCATTTTTTTTAATTAACCCTTATAGTTCCCACCACTTAAGTTATGGATGGGACCACTAATCTTATCCAACATCTCCCAAATATTAACATAGATTTACAAAATTTTATTTTTGGACTAGAAAGGTGTCTATCATTGAGGAAATGATATGAGAAGGAACAATCAACTTAAGAAAATTTAATTTTTAGATACAATAACACTAACAATTTGGTGTTGATGATTAATTCTACACTAACAATATGTAAATTCTATTTTTTTTTAAATAATATATACATAAATAAAAAACTTTGATAGGATAGATGTGTAATTTTATTTTTTTTAATAATATATACATAAATATATCAACTTGGTATGTTAGATAATCGAGCACATCAAATAAATCGATGGATTTGGCTAATAAGGGATGACTCAATCAACGCATCCTATATTAGATATGTTTGAATTATTGAGGCTAGTAAACAAAACAAAGTAAGAATGTCATAAATTTGGTTGATTAGGTGTTGCCACTATACTAATCAATAATTACCTCCCAATTGTTGTGTCTAAAGTTAATATACACTTTTTTATTTTTTAAGTATCTCACTATCTATTCACGTATATTATTCATTTCATAATATTACGATCCATAATTTATCTTAGTCATTATATCCACATAAAAAAGATCTCTTTTTTTCGTATCAGTTATTATTATTTGTATCTGACAATCCAAAGTTATCCCATCGATTTTAAGGTAGAAGGAGATAACACAATTATCAAAATCGAATTAAAAATATGATGTCCAATAAAGCATGAATAGATGGGTCAATTGATTGAACTTTAGATTTAATAATTAAGGAACAAAATATAAAAAAACATTTTGTTAAAAAGATTAAACATAAGAATAATTAGTATAGTAGGTGTATTTTTTCCTCTTTCATCGTCATATTGAAATACTTAAATATTTTCAAAAAGTAAATAATAATATATGATCACAAATAAAGAATTGAAGTTACTATTCTAATAAGAGTCGAATGAATTGAATCAATCTAGATTTAGTTATTTTCTTATCATTCGAATCGATTGTATCGGTTTGATCAATCAATTCAATCCAAATATTATAAATGAACGACTGAGAGAGGAAGAGATAAAAATATAAAAAGAAAGATAAACATATATTATATGATTTTCTTTTGATTCATCCTTATCATAAAAAAAAATTAAATGACCTTAAGAAAATTCAAATCTTTGACAATATTTGAGTCAAATTTATCATGGGTCCGATTTGATCAATCCGACTTATTCGATAGATCAATCCTCATAATTCTATAACTATGTGTGTGTGTGTGTGTGTGAGAGAGAGAGAGAGAGAGATTGGATCCGAAGGAATTGACCTCAGTCCAAATGTGGGGTTCTGACCATGTCACGCATTCAACTCCGGTGGGAGGAACGTGATGCCGTCAAAAGCAGGTGGCACCTCCGCTCTTTCAACCCATCCTCGGTTCTTGGAGCATGTCTTGTCTGATTTGGTAACCCTTCCTCCTTTTTATCCATGCTTCTTGCCTCAGCCCCGTTCTTTGTCTCACTACACCCTACTCGAGGATGAGTATTCTATCCAAAGGAGATAGAAATTTTGCTCTTTGACGCATTTTGTCCAACACTTGATCAGCATCCATCATCTTTTCCAACATCGGAAAAAGCTAAGAATACTTGCCAATTTTGTATGGTTTGACACCGTTCAGTCACATTATTATTATTTAAGCGTTTCATAAAATGATTGTCAAAAGTATTTTTTTTCTTTTAAATCATCGAGCTATACACAACCACTTGTCCGATAAGATAATAATGCATGATTAATTTTGATACAAGAATTAAATCGAACAAGTATCACTTAAAATTTTGATGATAATTATGTGCAATATATATTTAGGGATCAATTTTTTTATTATTTTTCTAATTTATTTTAGAGTATCGAGATTGATAAGTATTTTGAGATTCCTGGAGTCAAGTCTCTTATGAAGATAAAAAATTCTGGTTAAGAAAGTTCTCACGAAAAATGAAAACTCGTATATCTCTAAACTTTAGTGAGGGAGGAAAATAACTCCCGAGTTTTTCTACGAGGAATCTATGAGCGTGAGAGAAAAAATATAAATTATTAAAAAAATTTGTGAAAGAGTATATAAATGAAGAAAAATAACTCAATGGTAAAGAATTTGTATATAGGCAAGAGTTACTAAACTATTGTAATTTTATATATTCTTTATTTGTTGATTTTGAGCTTCCTTTTTTTTTTTTGGTTTGAGGGAGAGAGATGAATGCACAGAATTAAATCAAATAAACTCTAACAGCTACTAGCCAAATTCACACTTTTGGTTATATAAGTTGGAAATATTGCAAAGGTTTACCCTTTCTGCCACATAAAGATAAAGCTGGAGATGATGTCAATGGATGTCCCTCCTACCTTCACCCTTGCCAATTTGATCCACCAACAATCCAGTGGCCAAAGGTTTTCATCCACAAACAACAACTCTGATTCATTGCTTCCCTAAGGCCACCACATGATGAGATCAGTCGCACCTCTTTTCCTGTCATGCATGATATGTAAGTCTGAACCATTTGGTTGATGATCTCATGCTCGTATACATATTTATATCCCCCACGAGCATCTTCTTCTTCTTCTTCTTCTTCTTCTTCTTCACTCGACCAGCAATGGGGGTGCATGATTGATTGCTTGTTAGAGTAGTCAAATCATTTCTTAAGGGGAGAAGCTCTTTACAACTGTTCTTTGTCCTCATCCAATCTTGTTGGTGTCTCCATACACTTTTGTGGTAGACCATTTCATTAACAATTCCATCACTATATCATGTCATTATATTAAATGACCAATGCAATCTTTATTATTCCCTGATTGTGTTGCAGGAATCTTCTCGGTTTGATTTCCTCTCTACACTACTCTTTCCTTGTTCCCTTTTCTTTGCTTGCCTACCATCCCCACTCGCCCTTGTATTCTGGTTTCATGTCCCCTCTCGCTCTCGCGCTGTCTCTCTCTCTCTCTCTCTCCATGGTTTTGTGGTATCAGAGCGAGCCGCAAGCAAACACGCTGTTCATCGAACACCTCATTCCCTTTCTCTTCGCCTGTCCTTTTAAGACCTTTGTAATGATATCAAACTCAAAGCTTTAATTCCCAGAGACATATGCTCTTTAAACAAGGAAAAGAAAAAGGAAAATGGAAAGGGGAGGTGGCGAGCGCACAAGTGCACAGTCTTTCACTGTGACAACACCACTTGTTGATCCAGATTCCACCAGGACAGATCTCGGAGGACATCCTCCCTCAAGCAACACGGCCGAAACAAGCTGAGCCATTTCTCTTTCGTGCAACTGTTATTATTGTGTTTTGTTTCATCAGGCAAACTTTTGCTTCCGACTCATCATCATCATCATCTCTCTATCTCGCCAGACGATGAACAGTAGCTTCGGCTTCCGACCATGCACCAACACTGGAATGCTGGTAGGTGGACATCTGAATCGGGCATCCTCTTGATGCCCATTTATCTCCACAACATGCACTTGTCTCCTCTAAATCTGGCACAAGAAAGATGCAGCAGCGGACATGGGTACATGTTCATGCTTTAATTATTATGTGTACCTCGCCAAACTGTTCCACCCACCTCCGAGAGACCCCAGGTCCTACTACTGGGTGTGTGCAAGCATGCAAGCACACCCAGATCCCCTCGGCGGCCATGGATGGAGTACCAGCAAAACCAAAGCTACGTCATAAAAGGTTTGGCGAAAAAGAGTCAAGTGCCTCTGCAGTTCATCTCTCTCAAGATTGTGGGAGGGAAGGGGGAATGTTGCGTGACTCTTTATTGACCACATCCGGGAAGCCTACCTGAGAAAGCACAGCCCACCAGCCCTAACCCTAAGAGAGACTGCGAGAGAGAGAGAGAGAGAGAGAGAGAGAGAGGAGGGAGGGAGGTA